TAGTTGAGAAAAGTAAGGGGGTTGAGGAGTATTGGGATAGTGCAGTGGATTTGCAATTTTAAAAGAGGTTCCATGGTAGACTTTAATGAGGAGATATCTAAGCAAAAACTTGAAGGAAGTGAGAGAGTTAGCCATGTGCATATCTAGGGCATAGTTTTCCAGACAGATGGAAGAGACAATACAAAGTTCCTAAGATAGGGGCTGCCTGGCATTCATGATGCAGCAGTACAGACTTCCTTGCTGGTTCTTGAAATAAGCTAGGGAGAGAGTTGTAGGGAGCCATCTCAGGATTTTTAATACAGGAGTCCTTTTAGGCTGTTCTGTTAAAAATAGACCATCCAAGGTCAAGGTTAGGAACAGGGAGCTCTGATGTAAAGCTACTGCAGTTAACCAGGAGTGAGAGGAGTGAAGCGATCTCTTGATCAATGGCAGTAGTGGGTGAGAACAAGAAAGATACTGGACATATTTTAACAATAAGGCCAACAATATATCGTGATGGATCCTTGGGGTGTAAGACAAAGTGAAATCAGTGGTGACCCCAGGACTTTTGGTCAGATCAACTGGAAGAATAGCCTGCAAGTTAAAAAAATTGTAAGAATAACATCCAATTAATGTAAAGATAAAAAAAGATGGAAGAGAAGGCAGTACCCTCCAATATGCTCCCTTCTCTTTCCACTCCCTTCTCCTCACCAAGAAAACCCCCAAAAAAACCAAAAACAAAAAAACAAAAAACACTTGCCTGATGGAGTCAGAGTCTAGGGCACCTGTGGTACCCATGTTTACTAGCCTCACCAAGGTATAATCTTCAAATCTCCCCCCACCCCAAGACATTTCAAGCAGACATATGATCCAAGTGAAAGATGGTGCCTGCTATGCAAAAGGCTTCAAGACAGCCCTTCGTAACCCTTTGGGCCACATTATTTCCTAAGCCTCCTCATGTAGAAATTCCTGAGCCAACAGAGGAGTTGGGCTAATACAAGGGTACTTCAAAAATTTCATAGAAAGATTTCTATAATCCTTTAATTCTATTTTTCTACGAACTTTTAAAAAAAATTATCGGAACATAATTGATTGTACATGTCTGTGGGGTACAGAATTGCATGTCAATACCTGTGTGCAATATGCGATGCTCAAATCAGGATAATTACTATATTCCAAATTATACAATGTTATCATTTTCCATGAACTTTTAAAAGTACCCTCTCATATGTTTAAAGTCCCTGCTGAAGGGTGCATGTTTCATGAGATCTTTTATTTATTTATTTATTTTTCCATCAAGCTAACGTGAAAAGCTGATTCAAAGCCCGGTAAGCATTCTTTTCTTCTTTTTTTCTCCTTCTCTTACATTTCTTTCTCCTCTCATCTCAGCCATGATGTTTAGGCACTCTCATCTTGTTGGCTGAAAGGTGGAAAAGATGTCAATTCATGGATTTAGTAGGAGGGAGGGATGCTTTGCAGCCTGTATGCTGAACCGTGTGCTACAGTGCAATTTTGTAGGAGGTGCTTCACTGGGGTGGGGGTGGGGTGAGGAGTGTCACAGGTATAGAGGCACCTTGCTATCCTCTTCCTACAGCACAGGTGTGTTTATACCTAATGAACACTTTATGCTGCTTTACGTGGAAGAGTAGTTCTCATTTGTGGTAAATTTTCAGCATGCTAGTGTCCTTAGTCACAAACAGCTGTAACTCCTAACACTGTAACTGGGCTAACCAATGATTGGTGAAAACAATTACTAATTACTTCTACCATTCAAAGTCAAACAAAGGTCATTCATCCAATGGCACAGACCTTACCTTGTGACTTCATTCATGCTTTGATTCCACATCTCTATATTTATTCACAGCAGATTTTCAGAAGGGTGGCTAGAGGTTGTCTTTACCACATTCCTGTGTGGACCCAAGTTGAACTGACCCATTTCCTCCACTAATGAACTGCTGTATCTCCTATTTCCCTGCCCTGAAAGCAGTCATGGTAGGGCAAAGGGATGGTGGCTAGGCCGCTGCTGCAGAAGGAAATTCAGGCCCCATCTGTCAGCGCTGCCACCACTGATGCAGACGCCGCATCAGGGATGGTCAAGGTGAATCTCTTTGGGAGACCACTTTCAGAAATCAAGAATTTATTTTACATTTTTTATTAGTTACGTTTAGTCTTTTTTATATGTCAAACATACTAGGTAAATATGTTACGGGGAATAAATATGCGCCTAAGACTTGTTATTTTCATAGGAGCTACCGCACAAAAAGGGGAGGCAGAATGCACACAAATAAAACAGCAGGGAAAGTGAGATTGCAAATTGGGACTGGCCAGGGTCTGGGGAGCCAGACTGGAACATGAGTATCGTGGTTAAGTAACTTTTAAAGTGATATCCCAAGAACATGTAGATGTGGAGTGAAATATAATCTCCTTTCTCCATGGTGAGTGCTCTCATGCAGTTTTATAAAACTCAGTTCTTTGTTCTTAATACATTTAAAATTCCCTGATTGGAGTGACCACCTCCTCCACATCTGCTCTGGCTGTCACGGTCACTATGATGTCTTCATTTTGTGCACTTCAAGCTTCTTTTCCCCAAACCTCCAGCCCCACTTTCTCTCTTTGCTTCCCTCTGCCCTGATACTAAATATGCTTGCTTCAACCCACCACTTTCAATCATAACATCACCCCACTTAATTCAATAACAATCCAGCTAAAGCTGGTGGGGCTTCGAATTTCAGTGGACATGGGATGGAGTTTAGAGGTGGGTTGGATAAGGCTTGTCATCGTTCATCTGGGGGAATCTCGACTTTACTGGAGTATTTCAAAGAGATTGTGGGAAAATGGACTTAAGAGATTGTATGAATCTTCCCATGAGCTTTTTGGGGTTTTAAAAAAAAAAGTTCTATGGGTTGAATGTGTCCCCCAAAAGTTCATGTGTTGTAAACTTAATCCCCATCATAACAGTTTTAAGAGGGTGGGGAATCCAATTGTAGTATTCGAAAGATGGGACCTTCAAGAGGTGATTGGATCCTGAGGTCTATGCTCTCTTGAATGGACTGATCTATTCACGGAGTAATGGGTTGATGGTTTAATGTGTTATCATAGGTGTGAACGGGCGGCATTATAAGGAAAGCACATGAAAGTGCTATTGCCATTCTTGCCATGTGATAACCTACGTTGCCATGGAACTCTGCACACAGCCCACCAGGAAGAAGGCCCTCATCAAATGCACCCCCTGGACCTTGGGGCTTACAACCTCTGAAACTATAAGAAATAAATTTCATTTCTTTATAAATCACCCACTTTCAGGTATTCTGTTATAAGCAACAGAAAACAGTCTAATACACCTTGTAATATGGGAAGGCTTGGAAAATAGGACAAGTGAGTAAGAGAAAGGCTTAGCACTTAAAGAATCTGAAGGGCAACATTGTGCCATGGGCTTACAGGGCAGCTGGAAGTACATGGCTAGTTCAGGGCTGTTGGACCCTAACTCTGAAAACTGCTCCCAGAGAAGGTATGAAACCAAAGAAGCAGCAGCCAGCGTTTCCTTCTGAGCATCTGAGATGACACCTGAAGGATAAATAGAATAGACTGGAAGGACAGCAACCATAGAAGATGCGGCATGCTTGTAGCCCTCTTTCCATATCTCCAGTCCCTGGGATTTCTCAGAATCATTAGTGAAAGAATGGACAGGAATAGTAGCAATGACAATCACACTGTCTGTCTTTTTCTACTGCTTTGGGCCATGCTGTTTTATTAGTCTACATTTAAATCCTCACACTTATTTTTGCTTCAAAACAGTGGAATTAAAATTAAACTCCAGTAACACTTTCCATTTCTAAACTTTAACTTCACCATTATACTTCAAAGTGATGTTTCCACATGACCATTGAAGGTGTTTCTCAGGTCTTATAATTCACGTGTAGAAAGAACATTTACATTTGAACTAAGAAATACCTTTGCATATGATCTCTGCCCATTAGCATTGGAAGACATTATAAATTAAATCACAGGATAGTATAAAGTCTTTCTGTCTTCCTTTTTTATTTTTTCTTTCTGTGTATCTGTATAAAGTACAGACATGTTGGAAAGTACAGATTTTATTTTTCAGTGCCCCAAATCTGTGGGATTATTTTGGAGCAAAACAAGTATTTACTCTCCAAGATATGGCTGTGGAAAGCTAGTTAATTTCATGCCATCCTCTGGCATTCAAGTGCCTTCCTTTCTGCTTTTTATGTACCAGCATCACACGTGCCCTTATTTTAGATATTTACAAAGTTTCCTAAAAACACTTGTCCTGTGAATTTGGTTTTGAAAAGTTAAAAACCTTGATAACCCACACTTATACTCCATTTTAAAAAATAAGCAAAGAGTCACCTCCATGTGAAATGTGAAAGAATTCAATATCAATCATACAGTTCTTTAAAGATCGGGAGCCAGACCTTCAGTGAAATACCACCTTTTCTGGACATTTCAGCAGATGCTGTGTCCCTGGTTAAAGGGGCAGAAAGACCTCATTCTCTGTTTTATTAGTGATGTTTTGGGATAGTTTCTTATCAGGAAGTTTAGCTTGATGTGGCAATTGGAACACTTTAATCTCCATAGCTGCTATATTTTTTCCCCAAACTGAATTGTCTGTGTAGAATGTCAGACAGCTTGGACAGATGAATCTTTCTGTCTTTGAGAAACACACATAGACTTCTGACTGAGAATCTCACTGTTTTTTTTTTTTTTTTCAGTAGCTTTTTTTCCTTTCTCAAGGAGCTTCATTTTTACTTCTACACAGGGAGGATGAACAAGCTTTTCTTAAGTTACTTACAATTTTAGTGATGGTGCTAATTTTCTTTTAGTGATTAAGCATTTAGTATTTAAATGTTTCCCCCTTAAATGCTAGAATCAAATCTCTACATTTCAACTTTGTGTAGTGTAATATAAGAAAGCTTTTATTAGAATATATTTAATGAGACTCTAATTTCTACATTACTAAAACAAGCATTGTCAAATCCTTATGAACAATAAGAAAGAGACATTGTTAAGCTTTTAATAAGGACTTTTTTTTTCTTTTTTGTAAATCCACAGTGGCTACAATCTATAATATACATGGAACATATTACAGCCAAAAAGTAGCATGACATTAAAAATAATACAGAGACTGGGCATTTTCTGATATCAAAAATCATAATCTTAACTTTATAAAACACAATGGATATTCTCAACCAATTCCCCACACAGATGAGAAAGCTGTTGCTGAAGCACACTGTTCAGGTTGTACGAGAATGAAAAAGCTTCCTATGCATGTTTTAAGTATCTCCTCTGTCCCTATTTAATATCTACTAGGCAGGTCACAAAGGCCTCCCAGGGGATAGCAACAGATGATCTCTTTGAAGGTTTTCCTCAGTTCTTGACTCCGGAGTGCATAAATTAAAGGATCGATGATTGAATTACACATAATCAGTATGAGATACAAGTTAAAATGAGACATGAAGCACACACAGTATGGATTCTGGGGACAAGAGATGTAAAATATTAAGTGGAGGAAGAATGGGGCCCAGCAGACAACAAAGACCCCAATCAGGATAGTCAAGGTAATTGCCCCCTTCATGTTGGCACCTTGGCGGATGGTGCCAGTGCCTGGCAGAACTGCGATCCTCTTAATGTGAAGTCTGGCCATCAGGAACATGTGCACATAGAGAGAAGCCATGAGAGCCAGCATGGTGAAGAACATGGTGATGAGGCAGATGATAACAGCACTGCTGTCTGAGTAAATGATGAACAAAATGCCTGAAACTGTGCAAGCTGCCCAGATACAACTTATGATGATGCCAACCCGCTTAACCGTCATAATGTTATGGTACTGGAGAGCATAAAAGATAGTAAAATACCTGTCCACTGCAATTGAAAGCAGGCTGCAAATTGATGCAAGCAAGGAGCTACAGATCACTGAGTCAATGACATTATCAATATTCACTGTGAAACTCTGTGCATCCGTATCTGTACTGTTTAGTAGGGTGATGACAATGGTTTCTGATCCGTTTGAAACGCTCACCAACATATCGGCCACAGCCAGGCTACAGATGAAGAAGTACATGGGCGAATGCAGATTCTTGTTCTTGGCTATTGCCACAATCACTAGAATATTCTCCAACAAGCTTATGACACCCAGAGTCACGAACACCTCCGGAGAGACAAAAAGTTGCTCGTAGCACCCTCCATCGGAGTAGCCTTTTCCAAGGGACTCACTGGCATTGCTGTGCAGTCCATAGCCGCTGCGGTTCCAGAAGTGGAGAGAAGTGTGCATCCCGTGGTGGTGGGTGTTGTTCCTCATGAAGCAAGTGGATTCAGAGCCCCACTGAATTGATTTAACCTCCTCGGTCAGGGAGTCTTTATTTTCTCCAAGTCTTTCTCTATCTGAAAGTTCTGAGGCTAAAACTGGCGTACTTGCTGTGAGTAAATGTCACAAGCTCCAGAGCTTGAAATGGAGTTTTTAGTCTCTTTTAGGAACAGTTCTCATCGTCGCTTTAAAATCTTAGGCTTCAAAATGCTCATTCTCAGTTGAAAGAGTCTGCTATTTGTTTTGTTGTTCTCACTCCCGCTTTAACTTTAGCCTTATGCATTCAGATCTTTTCAGAATAATTCTCCTAGCAGCTGCTGTGCCATTGGGAGAGGAATCTGTGTGCACGTGTTCACATCGGCTGCCTCTCAGAAGTGTTGGTTCCCAGCCGGAGCATTGCTTTGAGTGTTAGGAGCTGTGTGTGCCGGCTGCTGATTTTTATGGTGTGTGGAG